AGCAGGCTGGCACAGGCACGGCCTGCCTCGCACGCGTAATTTTTCTTTACCGCCGCTTCCTCCAAACAAAGCTAGGGTTCTTTTGTCTCCCGCCGGCCAGCCTCGTCTTCGGTGGCCCTAGAGCCATGGGAACGCGATGCGTCGTGGCCCTCGCCGGTGGAAGGGCTTCATTTTTAGATGTTTTTTTTGGTTTAATTAGGGTTTGTGTCCTGCTCAGGAAGACGAGACAACGATAGCTCCCTACAAATGTAATAAGGTTCGCCCCGCCTAGCCCCTTTTCCGGTGGTGCGTCTAGCAGCATCGGAGGCGTGTGGAGGTGTGTCTCCGGTGAATTTCATGGGATTTGATTGGTGGTTGTCTTTGGTGAATCTACTCGAATCCGGTCTTCGTTTGTGTGTTTTCAGATTGGGTCCTTTTGATCTACACCTCTTTTCATTGGTGGAGGTTGTTTTTCTGGTGCGTTGGTCCTATGAGGCATTAGTAAGACGACTTTCCGGCTGTCTGCTACAATAAATTTTGCCCGACTCTGACGTGGGAGGGATGATGACGGTGACGTGCCTTCGGCTGGCTTCAATGCTTGCAGCTGTTACTAGGTGGTCTACGGATTAATTTGGATGTATTCTTATTATTTCTAGTGTTCGTTGGACCATCATGATTGAAAATAAATAGATCGGAAGATTTACCACAAAAAAGAATGAAATGTTTTAATTAGGCAGCTGCTAATAAAGCTCAATATTTATTTCATATGATGCTTTGCCATATATTTTTAGATTTTTACGTATTTTTTAGATTTTTCAAATTAATTGGAAAAAATGATGACTTCCCATAAGTGCCACACGGGCCTAGGCCACCATGTTTAGTACATATGGCATGCTCGTCCAAGGAGGCAAGGCCAGCGTGCCAGCACGGCATGACCCGCTTATAAACGGGTATTCGTGTGTCATGTCGTTCCAGAGTTTTTTAGTACGTGTGTCGTGCTCGTCCAAGGAGGCGAGGCTAGCATGCCAGCACGGCATGACCCGCTTATAAACATGTATTCGTATGTCATGTCGTTCCAGAGTTTTTTAATACATGTGTCGTGCTCGTCCAAGGAGGCGATGCCAGCGTGCCAGCACGGCATAACCCGCTTATAAACAGGTATTCGGGTGTCATGTCGTTCCAGAGTTTTTTAGAACGTGGGCCGTGCTCGTCCAAGGAGGCGAGGCCCACATGCCGGCACAACATGGCCCGTTTATAAACTGGTCTCGGTGTGTCATGTCGTGACAGGCCCGTTTGTGGGTTTGATGGAGTCGATTCACCGGAGGAGATAAATAACACCTTCATTGTATTAATTCCCAAGATAGCCAGTCCAAAAGTTTTAGGACAATTTCGACCGATAAGTCTTTGTAATGTGATCTACAAGATCGCTTCAAAGGTCTTGGCAAACAGGTTGAAATCCATTCTCCCCGATATCATTTCTGAAGAGCAGTCGGCTTTCGTTCCTGGACGCCTCATTACGGGCAATTTCATTACAGCCTATGAATGCCTACACTATATGAAGACTAGAAGGGTGAAAGGAAATAGATATTGTGCTCTCAAACTGGATATGATGAAGGCATATGATCGCTTGGAATGGTCGTATCTAAGCTCAGTTATGATTAAGATGGGGTTCAGCCCTCGGTTCACCGAGACAGTCATGAAGTTTGTCACTTCAGTTTCATTTTCAGTCTTATTCAACGGTGGTAGTTTGGATGCTTTCAGGCCATCGCGGGGTTTGAGGCAAGGAGACCCAATCGCCATATTTGTTCTTGCTCGCAGCTGAAGGGCTATCGTGCATGTTAAAGGCCCAAGGAGGAATTAGGGGGATCTGCGTGGCAGAAAACGCCCCTATGATGAATCACCTTCTCTTCGCTGACGACAGTCTACTTTTCTTTGAGGCTAATGAGACAGCTGCGGTACGGGTGGAAGCTCTTTTAAGGACATACTGCAATGCATCTGGAAAGAGGATCAATATGGACAAATCGTCCATATTTTTTAGTAAAGGGGTAGATGATGCTTCTCGTACTTCTATCATGAATATCCTTGCTGTCCACAATGAATCGCTGTCGGAGAAATACTTGGGCTTGCCGACGGATGTGGGTAGGGCGAAGGAAGGGTCGTTCAAATACCTCAAGGACAGAATTTGGAACAAGGTTCAAGGTTGGATGGAGAAATGCCTTTCAGCAGGAGGGAAGGAAGTGCTTATTAAGTCTGTGGCTCAATCTATACCTACTTACTCTATGTCATGTTTCAAGCTACCAAGAGGCTTATGCGGTCACATAAATGGCATAATTCGGAAATTTTGGTGGGGCAGTAAGAACGGCCAGAGGAAAGTTGCATGGGTATCATGGCAGACCATGTCGAAACCCAAGTTCATGGGGGGTCTGGGTTTTAGAGATGTTGAGCTTTTCAATCTTGCTCTACTCGCACGACAAGCTTGGAGATTGCTGATGGATTCGGATACGCTAAGTGCGCGCGTACTGAAAGCTCGATATTATCCGAATTGTGACTTGCTGGAAGCCACACTTGGCGCTGCACCGTCCCAGGTTTGGCGCGCTATCCTCGAAGGCAGGGACGTGTTAGCGCAGGGACTTATCAAGAGAATTGGATCCGGTTTGCAGACTAGCATATGGGGCCAGAATTGGCTGCCGAGGGACTATAAGCTCAGACCATTTTGTGCTCGCTCGACCAACCCACCAGTGTTGGTTTCAGAACTAATTGACCCTATCACTAGGGTGTGGAATAAGCAAACCCATGAGAACTTCATTGCACCTGATGTAGAGGTCATACAGAGTATACCCCTCAGTACCCGGACACAAGATGACTTCTGGTCATGGCATTATGACAAGAGAGGTGTGTTCTCCGTGCGCTCGGCATACAGAATGATCGCTGCGGTCAAAGCCCAAAGGGAGGACTGGTTGGATCACCGACCGGGCCACTCGAACATTGCAGCTGATAAGAAATCATGGACTCATCTATGGAAGGTTAAAGTCCCTTCCAAAATCCGTGTCTTCGTGTGAAGATTGGCGCATACCTCGATTCCAACAGGTTCAGTGAGGCATGACAGGAAGATGGCCGACAATGCATTATGCTCCATCTGTGGAGCCGATGAAGATACATGGAGACACTCCCTACTGAGCTGTCGGATGGCCAGATGCGTATGGGTTTTGGGTGATGAAGAGCTACTTGAACATGTGATATCAAACCAGAGCGCGGATGCGAAGCTTTGGCTGTTTTGGCTGTTTGAAACTACAAATCACCAAGATCTTACCAGGGTTCTCGTCACGATGTGGGCAATTTGGTGGGCTCGCCGAAAAGCTATTCACAAGAACGAGTTCCAGAGTCCGCTATCAACCATGATCTTTATAAAGAGATTTCTGGAGGATTTAGAGATTGCAACAACTAATGCACCAAGTGTGCTGCCGGGCCGCCACTCGGTACTGAAGCCACGAGTGTGGTTGCCACCAACAGGAGAAGAAGCAGCAAAAATAAACTGTGACGGAGCCATCTCTACTCTTGGTGAGAAAGGAGCAGCAGCTGTTGTGTGCAGGGACAGATCAGGTAAATTTCTAGGGGCATCAGCTGTGGTTTTTGACGGCTTGATCGACCCGCCAAGCTTAGAGGCGCAAGCGTGCAGCGAGGCCCTTGCCCTTGCACGAGACTTGAATCTGCAGAACCTGGAGATTGCGTCAGATTGTCTAGAGGTGGTAACCAACATCAACAGAGAAGCCTCGCCAGTTTATGCGCCAATATTGCATGAAATCAATCTTTCCAAGAATCTTTTTACCTCTGTTATTTTTTGTTTCGAAAGTAGACAGAATAATTTTGAGGCCCACTCGATAGCAAAAGGAGCTGCGTCTCTGCCGGTGGGCCGCCATGTGTGGCTAGGAGTTTTACCAGACATTGCTTGTATCCCAGACTTGATGATCATTGAATAAAATCCCTAGTTACCTTAAAAAAAAGAATAAACGGGGGACCCTACTCGCCAGTGACTGTAAAGTTTTTGTGCAAATGGCGAGCAAGCGCCGTCCGTCATGTGGGCATGCTAATTGCTCAAGCATTTTTGCTTTCTCCGTCCAAGTTGATTGTTGTGTGGTAAGTTAGCTGCTTACAATGTGCGGTGACATCAAACGATTTCATCGATAGCCATGTATTTTCTTCCCATACAAAAGGTATGCATTTTGGCAACTTCTTGAGAACTGAAACAAGGGAGATGAAACTGGAAATCAATAAACTGAAGCAATACTTTGAGTTGCGCCGTCAAAAACAGATTTACAAAGGAATAACATCTTTTTTCGACAAATGAATAACACGTAAATGTAAGTTTGAAGCCATCGGTTACCATATTTAAGATCTCAAATTTTCCGAGGAAGGAAAGCTGAGGAGACGGAATCAGTTCCGAACATTCCTTTCCAACAAACTGGCAAACTTTTAAACTGAAATCTGTTACAAACTTACTAACCAAAGTAGCGTGCTAATTTCTCAAACTTGAAGGGTAAATTGCTGTTGTTTCAAGAGGCATAAGGGATAAATTGACCTTAGATAAAATTCACAGCAAGCATCAGTATCAAACCATAAATTAAAAACAGGGAAACTAGCAGCAAACGACCGCTCATTTCTAGCTGCACAAACTGAATATTGCAGTTAATTATTCCGGCATTGCAACAGCAGCAATCCACTCAAACCTGATTTTGATAGATCACTGTGCACATCACAAAGTCAGAGTGCATCAAAATCACTATGTACCAGACTTAGTTAGAGCATACAGGCAGATAAAGATTACCAGCTGACAGAACGCTCACAAGAGTGTCTCCAGGATTCGGTCCAACCTCTCACGAAAACAGGGGGACAACCAGTGCCAAGAAATTTTTGTCTCATCAGACACAAATAATTCAAACAAGTGCCACTAATTCAAACAAGTTGGGTCCAGCCCCACATAAGTTGCTGGAAATTTGGCGTCTTCTCGAGCATAAAGAACTTTCTCACTGCATCCTATAAATAAAAACCATGTCTAATCCTAGCCCAGAGAAGGTTACTAACAACTCGCAGAGCACTTCAGCCTTGTTTTCAGTGATCGAGTCATGGAACTTCACTGTCATCCTTCTTAGCACGGTTGCCCAACTGCATATCTGTTTCACGGCATTGATTTCATGTTCAGTTCCTCTGAAGCCAGAGATTTCTATTACTTCAAGGCGATTCAGCACGAGTTCCTCGGTTTTCCAGCTTGGTGGCTGATCACAAATGCAATCTGACGGGCACACAGTTTCTTCCTGAAACAAGGGGCACATCAGATTAATAAGAACAACTGCTCTGATTTGATGACATTAAAGAGCGTAGAGATGAAACTGGAAATTATTAGTCCGACTGAATATTTCGAGATATGTCATCTACTACAAAATTACAAAAGAGTAACATGCGGAGATTAGTTTGAAGGCAACCTATTGCATAAAATGTGATGCTTCCAATATTCAAATAGGAAGTGTTAGAACCAATAGTATTAAATTGCTGCTATCAATAACACATTTAACAAGGTCTTAAATTTCCTGCTAAAGGAGAGTATGAGAAGAGAGGTCCCATCTATTTCATGGAAACGGGACCCTGTCTACTAGTTCTTCTCATTTTCAATAGACTAACAGTACTTTCAAAAGAAGTCAATTAACAAGTTAACCCAAAATGTACACCACCGATATAATTTGGAGCAAAGTTTAAGTATCAAGCAAACAACTAGCGGGGATTACAAGCTTGAGTATGCTTAAAAATGCAAATACATATAATGCTTTTATGTGACATTCCTGGTATCTGAATATTAGATAAACAAATTAAGAATAGCATACCTCATCTTCAAGTGTGACATTAAGTCCAAGAACTAGCGCTCTTATTGCAGTACACATCCTCATAACATGGAATAAGCTGGCTCCAAAGGAATGTCCACATGCTGTTATTCCCAGTTCCAATAATTTAATGTCAGGAAGCCTTGTTATTTGCTCCATGAAGTATTTCTTGTTTGCTATGTCCTATTCGTAAGAAGTCAGAAACAAAAGTATCATATATAAGAGTTCGATAAGAAAAGAAAATCACATTTTCTTGTGTGAGTGTGCTGCAGGAGGGAGGGCACTCAGTTGAGGTGATTTACTAATTCAAGTTCACTTCATTCTTCAGAGTAGGTGCAGTTAGCCATACAAAACAAGTGAAAATGTCTCTCAAAAAACATACTTGTATCATTTAAGCTGAACTGCATGAGTCTAGTGATTTTCTAGCATATTACTACAATGGTGGCATATACTAATAGGTAATAACAAACATAAGGATGAACTCACCTTAGGACATTGAAGTGTGAGAACAGGACGGTGGAGGTGCTCAAAGTGCCGCAAAAGACACACACCATTGCGATTGTGTGAAGAATGGTAATCCTCTCCATACATGATAAAATGTTGGGTAACAAGCGATTGCAGGTATGCCATCTCACCAAGCTGGACAGAGTTTTGATCATAATTATCCATCCACGCGAGCCACATCAGATGAGGGGCTGAGATGTTGGCAACTGGTTGCCTCGAACACAGAACAAAGCAATGATCCAGTTTTAACAGTTGGAGTGCTGGCGCCACGACAGTGAGACTCTGCAAGTCAGGCAGACGAAATAGCTCCAATTTTTGAAGGCATTCTGAGTGGATTGTGAGGTCGCCCAGGCCATGGGCATCCTTCACGACGAGTCTCCGCAAGGATGGGCACCGCGGCGAGGAGACAGCCTCGCCGAGCCCACACGGACCACGCAGCCGGACTTCCATCAGCATGAGAAGATGGATCCGGGTGAATACACCGCAAGGCGGCAGCGCGAGGCGGAGAAACCCTAGTCGCAGCACGATTTTGGTGGCGTTCTCGAAGCACGGCAGCTTCAAGGCGGCTCTTTTCTTAGCTATGGCTATGCTCCGCCGCAGCACGCGGAAAACCAATGTGCCGGAGAGGCGGCGCGCGGCAATGGGAAGCCACGCCCCCGCGGATCCGGGAGAGTCGCCCTGTGCGATGACGGCGAGCGCTTGGAGCACCGGAGCTTCGTGGGCCGCGAGGGCAGAGCGTATGCGGCGCGGGTCGGTCGGGCGGAAGAAGTAGAGCGCCGGGAGAAGGGCCCAGAGGTGACGCCAGCGGCGGGCGAGGACGCTGGTCCGAGCGGCTGTGGCTGCGTCGTCGGACTTGAGGAGGATGCGGATGAGGATGTCGTCGTGCAGCGCGCCGAGGCGGTCCTCGCCGCCTCCGGCATCCGCGGCGCCGGAGAGCTTCGGCCGCCGCTCCTCCGGCATCTTCTCCATGGATGCAGCCTCCAAAGACCAAAACTTGCGGGTCCGCCGGCGGCGGGGATGGGGACGCGTGGGAGTCGCGGGTCACCGTGAGCACTCGCTCGGCTGGATCTTGGGGATGGGGATGTGATTTGGGCGCTTTTAGGAATGGGGATCGGGGTACGCACTGTAGAGCCCTCCTATTCTTCTCCGGTGAATTGCAAGAAATGCTCTAGAATTAAAAGAATACAAGAAATGCTCTAGAATTACAAAAGCATAAACAAAAAATTCAAAGACTATACTATAACACTGCTACTACTCCTCAGATCCAAACACTAACAAAATATGCATGCACTATAAAAATACTGAGTATATTAGAGTATTAGGTATTTATATAGGACATATATATTTATATATTTCAGAAAAATAAACGGGATGTGCCGTGCTTGCCCGCCGCGTGCCCAGCCTCCAGGCCTAGGCACGGGCCAAGTGTGTTGGGCCTGGCTCGTTTAGCCCGAGTCGTGTCGTGCCTGGGTCGTGCCGTGCCTGCGTGCTACCGGGCCGGCCCAGTTAGCACGACCCGTTTGGCCAGCTATATTTCTCTCCCGCGTCAATACTCTGTTGATATAAGCGTGATAATGTTACTTCATGTGCCACGTTGGTTTCATTTAGCTCTCTTTGGAATGCCCCACCTGTTTGACTAGTCTGAGCTCCTTCAATGCGCCTTGATGGATGAAAGTTGTCTTCACATGACTTAGATTACTGGTTCATATTCTGCAGAAATGCCAAACTGTTTGTAACCTCAATTTTCTCTGCACAATGGATTTGCATCTGATTTCCCCTTGGTGAATGAGACCTAGTGGACATTGGAACCATTCCAGTATTGCTCCTTTTTCCTCTAACTGATTTTCTTTCTTCACCTAGCCAACATGGGGCCAGCCCAGGGCGATGGAGGTCATCGACAACAGCAGCAGCCGCGGGTTGCTGTGCCGCCTGATCAGGGCCGAGGTGCTGCCCGGGTTGTGGCTCGGCAAAGCGAAGACCCAGCTTCGCAACCGGCTGCAAAGGCTCAGGCCACTGGTCGCTGTCACGGGAACGGACAGGGATGGAACGGTCATGCAGGCAATGGCAAAGATGGATACCGTTACAATCGTTACAGGCAGTGGGGCGATGATGGTTACGATGTATACGGCGAAGGGCAACACCGGGGGTCGTCATCCTCGAGTGGCGGCCAGGATTTCAACGACCATCATGGTGGCGGACCAGGATGAGAGTTCCAGGGACCCGCCCGGGAATTTTGTGGAGGGGGTTGCCGGACCCAATAACCGGTTCCGGAATGGACATCACTTTCGAGGCGGGAGCGGCACCCACCTCCACCACGCCAACCACTTCCACCGCCGACGATCGAGGAGACTGCAACGTTGGCGGCCACAGACCCCCGCTCTTCCACAGGTGGCCGTAGAAACAGTCCGCACGCTCGCAGCGGTCGACATCCCGGTTGCCAATAATTCTAAGGCAGCGGACGGAGGGTCTGACAAAGGGGTGGACAAAACGGACGGCGAAAAACTTTCTAAGTGGGCTGCTAAGAAGAAGAAGATGCCGTGCTATAGGTGCGGTGAGCCGGGGCACTTCGCCGCTGAGTGCACTAATGAGCTTTGTGACTACTGCCTCAGGCTGCAGCATACATCCGGCGAGTGTCCGCTTCTTTCGGGTCCTAAGCCAGTGGTCAACATCTATGGAGTGTGCTGTCAGGAGCTTATGTTTTTTGAGACACCCGATGTGGCACCTTTGACTCATGTGATGGAGAGTTCATTCCCAGTTGTGGTCAAGGTGACCAAATGGTTCTATGACAGAGGCACAGATTGTGCGTCAGCTGCAGGACTTGGTACCGTGTAACTATTAATGGAACCTTGATAAGTTGGAGAACCAGACTTACAAGGTTGATTTTCCCACTAAGGAGGATTAGTTGCATATCCTTAAGTGGGGCATGTGTAGAGTGCCGAGTACCAGTATTATTATGGCCTTTGACGAATGGAAGCAGAAGGATCCGGAGGGTACAGCTTTGGAGCAGGTCTGGATACGGTTCTACGGTGCGCCACCTAAACCACACAATCATTTCCTTGTTGCTTGGAGCTTGGGATCTCTCATTGGCAAGACGGAGAAGGTAGATATGCCTTTCACTCGCGCGAATGGGGCTACAAGGTTGCTTGTTGGTGTGGTCAGTGTTGAGTTTGTTCTAGATGTGGTCAAGTGGACTTATGCCAGAGTCACGTATGTGCTCGAGATTGAGATTGAGGACACACCGACACCTCAGGAGGGGGATGACACCCAGGATATGGATACGACTGAGGGGGATGGGGCCCCGGGGATCAGAGTAAGGATCCAGAGAGCGCATCGTGAGAGATGGCTAAGGGGCCGGCTTCGCTGTCTGATAAGGCGGATAAGTCTATCAAGGGAACGTCTGGTTCCTCGACTCCGATGAACTCACTGTTTTGGGGTCTTTTGGAGCGCGTTCTGCGCCCAGTCGGCTATGGAGTAACCGGGTGGAGACGGACGATCCGACTGAACTTGAGTTACCGCCGGTGTTGGTTTCTAGCAGTGTGTCACCGGGATTACGAGCATTTCCAGGGACGGACTCCGGGACGATGGTGTCTTCGAGGACGGAACTTGGACGGGCTGCAGAGCTTCGCTCCGAGGGCGGGGAGGATCATGGGTAGAAGGCCCTCCGTTCCCCCACTGCCCTTGAGATGGTTGGTGCTTCTCGGCGGACCACGAGTCCGGCTATGCCGTGTGTAGCCGTGGACGCATCTCATGCTGCTGGAGGTGCCGGTGCGGGAGGGGGCGTGGGCAGGTGGCCCTGGCCCCTACCTCCCTGCGGTGGACTCGCTGCGCGTCAGAGGAGGTGCCGGATCGGGAGGGGGCGTGGGCATGTGGCCTTCGCTCCTACCTATCCCTTGTCGTCCCTGGAGGGGGCGGCCCCTGCTCGGGCCCCGGGTGGCGGTCTTGGGCCGGGATCGCCGAGGCGCCGAGCCCTGTAGCGGTGATGGCTCGGGGAGCTTCGCTGGTCCTGCAAACGATGCAGGGAAGCTCTCCCACCGGTTCAGCTCAGCTGAGCCCCGTTGGGGGTCGGGCAGGAGGCCCTACCCCGAACGAGGTCACGCGGGATGACATCATCGCTTTTGGAGAGATTCCGGATCCAGTATTCGAAGGTCGACGGATGAGTTGTCTCCTCTAGGGTCAGTCAGACGTTGATGACATGTAGCTAAGGTGTGCCATGCGGGCGGCCAAGCTTCGTGATATTGAAGTCACAACTGGTATGTCAGTCAACACTTTCAATTCTATCTTGCATTTTTCTAATAATGAGATTATCCATAATGCAAATCAGTTGGGAGTATCTCTGGTAGTAATGAATTTGAAGTTTCTAAGTCCGTTAATGATATCTTGGATCTTGAAGCGGAGCGCGCTTTAGAGATGATTAGAAACCTAGTGGTGGTCAAACCTATGAACGATTCAGACGTACATGCTTTGGGGGTCAATGTGCTTGATACCTTTTGTGCGGATCTGGCACCCTCTCCTCTTGAGACTGAGGAGGATGAATATTCTACTTCCCCCAGGGGTTCCATTATTGCAGAGTCTCAGGTGGTTCCGTCCACTGAGCTCGGTTGTGAGGACCGGGTAGAGGACCATATAACAAGCCTAGTGACCATTATAGATTTGTGAGAACAAACTTCCTCTCATTCTTTTGGTAGTGTCATGAGGTTGGAGAGTTTTCTGTCGCCGCAGATTCGATTATTCCGATATGATGAGTTTCTGTTGTTGTGTTATAAGCTTTTTTTGTTGGTTTGATTCTTTGTAGAGATGAAATATTTTATGGGCACCATGGTGAAGATATAGTGATTCGATGGCCTACACTTCTAGGGGATCATCCCCGGCCCAAGTACGTTCATCGATCAAGGCTTCCCATCTTTTTAGATGGGTGACTCAAGGCGCTTTCAAAAACCATTATTGATAACGTTCGTGTGGGTCAAAGAGTGACAACATGGTTGCTCCAGTCTAATTGCAGCCTCTTTACCGAAGTCTTTGGAGTAGTTCTTCGAGAAAGAGATTGCTACCATGAAAAAGTTGAAGCATCCAAGAGGTATCTTCTAAGCTACGTGGACTCACTAATGGTGTGCAGAACAACCAGGTGTCGATCCAGTTAAAGGAAAGAAAGTTGTGGATGTGGTGACTCCCAACAAGCCATTACTGCATGCTTAGCCCATCAATGGTGCCCCACCTAGGTGATGGGCAAAATTGAACGTTGATGGATCATTCTGTGCCACATCGGGAACTACGGGGGAGGACATGATTCTGCGCGGCTCCATCGGTGACATCATTTTCTCATCCTGTAGAGAGTTGCGCACATGTACAGAACCATTGGAGGTTGAGCTCTCAGCTTGCATGGAGGGCATCAACCTCGCCCTGCAATGGACGGAGATGCCGATAGAAATAGAGACGGACTGCCTTGTCGCTCTTAACATGATTAATGGCCCGGACAGGGACCGGTCTCGCTATACCATGTTGGTTGATCAAATTCAAAGGCGTTTGAGAGAAGGGAGGATGCTCAAGCTATCTCATGTTCGTAGGGAACAGAATGGTGCAAGCCATTATTTGGCCTCCTTTGGACGGACAGAAGGTCGCACTGTGGTGTGGTTGGGTTCGGGACCAGGAGACGTCCCTGATATTTGTAAAAATGACTTATGTCCTGATTGATGAAATAAAATCTTCCTTTCACCCGCAAAAAGAAAATGTTTACAAGAGATTCCATTGTAATTCTTAGTCATAGGAGTTACTTTGTATTTTCTTAGATCTTAGGTCCAAATCAGTGTATCTGTAATTGTTATGAATATCAATAAAGTTATATGTGTTCCTAAAAAAAAAAGATGGAAACCCACTTGAGCAATGCCTTCTCTGCCGCCACCCGTGGCGCCGCACAGAAAAAAAATTGGGTGCAGACCGGCTGCAAAACTCCTCCTGTCACAGGATGCAAGCAG